TCCTTCTTATACTACGGCACCTATTATTTAGGGTACCCCAAAAGGGACCCTGATTTTACCAACCACCCATTTAGCTGGGGCCCAGCCGCGAAAAAGTAGACAGCGAGGATCACAGAGAGGAGCCCGATCTCCAGAAATAGGGGCTTCAAGAGTATCCTGCTGAAATGGTTTAGGGTTTAGGGTTTAGGGTTGAATTTGGGGCTTAGGGTTTAGGGTTTAGGGCTTAGGGTTTAGGGTTTAGGGTTTAGAAATCATGAACTACTGCTCTTCTGGTTTCAGAGGGTTTTTCGGGCAGGTTGAAGCTTTTTGGCTGCGATTGCTTAGGCAGTTGTACGGTGTCCAGGTTCGAGACTTACGCTTAGGCTTCGGGGCTGCGGGCTGTTCCGGTCAAACTTTGAGGATTGGAGCAGTTGGGCTTAAGGGCTTACGGAGGTAGGGGCCAGAGTCGTCAGCTTGGGTCGTATTACATCGATGAACAAAGTGCCTTTCTTTCAAAGCCTTGTCTTTGGAACCCCCGAACTTTCATGTAGACGCCGATGTTCAAAACGCCTTATCATCCTAATATTCGGACCGCTAACATAAGACTTCTGCAGCTTCATGAAAACCCTACTAAACCCTACTAAACCCTTAAACCTACACCCTTAAACCCCTAAACCCTTAAAGCCCTAAACCCTTAAACCCTAAACCCCTAAACCCCTTAAGCCCTCAACCCCTAAACCCCTAAATCAGGAACAGGGGCCAGGGCCGATAATGCGAATTTCGGAGTCAGCACCCCCTAAGTTCACAAAATCCCCGAATGGTTCTTGTAGAACCTCAAACCTCAGAAATGTGGAAAGACACCCCCCCCCGGCAGAACCCTAGCAAAGACCTTAAAACGTACTAAGGTAACCCCAGCTTTTGCCCCAGAACCCTAAACCCTAAACCCTAAACCCTAAACCCAGCGATTTCGGGCTTTGGGGCTTTGCATCTTCAGGCCTTCTGGGCTCTAGGGCTTTTAAGACTTCGGGTTCAGGGGTTTCGGGTTTAGGGGTTCATAGGGTTTAGGGTTTAGGGTTTAGGGTTTAGAGCTTCATAGGGTTTAGGGTTCAGGGGTTTAGGGTTTAGGGGTTTAGGGTTCATAGGGTTCATAGGGTTTAGGGTTCGGGGGTTTAGGGTTTAGGAGTTCATAGGGTTTAGGGTTTAGGGTTTAGGGTTTAGAGCTTCATAGGGTTTACGGTGCAGGGGTTTAGGGTTTAGGGGTTCATGGTTGCTTAGTGTCCGCGGCTTTAGGGCTGCTTTGGCTTGGGCTTTAAGGTGTCGGGCTCTTGGTCCTAAAGTCGACGCGCCAAACATTCAGGTTTACGGCAAAAAGCCGAAGTTTACGGACTATTTAGACAGACCCATCCCCCTCAAAAACGGAACCGTGCCTTACACAAAACTCGGCCGGGCTCTCTGAGTGAAGTTCCGGCACCCAAAACCCTAAACCCAAAGCCCCAATCATTCGTCCTGCCCGTCGGGTTCGCTTTGCGAAAGGCGGCCAATTCAAAAACGCACCAAAGCCTCGGCGAGGTTGGGCTCGGGGGTTCGGAGCAATAATGGTTAGGAATATTCCTAAACCCTAGACCCCTAAACCCTAAACCCCTAAACCCTAAACCCCTAAACCCTAAACCCCTAAACCCTAAACCCCTGCACCCTAAACCCTAAACCCTAAACCCAATTCTACCCATCGACCCTGTCTCTCGCAGGCTCTCAGGCCCGATTCGCCAATGGCGCAGCCCATCCCGGGCATGGCCCAGGACCGGCCCGGCCCAACCCCCGCTGCCCCGCAGGGAGAAACGAGGGGCAAAAGGGTTTAGGGTTTAGGGGTTAAGGCTTAAGGCTTAAGGGTTTAGGGTTTAGGAAAGCCTGCTCAACGCGTGTCGCTCAAAGCTTTCGGTCGAAGCCTATTGGCACCCAAATCAACTTTTCAAGAAACCCTAAACCCTAAACCCTTAGAAGGTTCTATAAACCCTAAACCTGTAGAAGGTTCTATAAACCCTAAACCCGTAGAAGGTTCTATAAACCCTAAACCCTAAATTTACCCGCAGAAGGTTCTATAAACCTTAAACCCTAAACCGCTAGAAGTTTCTATAAAGCCTAGACCGACGCACCCTAAACCCAAAACCCCTAAACCCTAAACCCAAAACCCCTAAACCGTAAACCCCTCAACCCTAAACCCGTAAACCCTAAACCCCTGCACCCTAAACCCTAAACCCCTCAACCCTAAATCCGTAAACCCTAAACCCCAATACCCTAAACCCTGGCCTCGTCAGGTAGGGAAGGCTCCACAAGATCCTTCGGCGATATGTGGTTTCAGTCTACGAGTTTCGAGTATTGGGGCTTTGGAGTTAGGGTTGAGGTGTAGCTACTCTGTGGGTTTAGGTCCTTTGTAGGTTTAGGTGTGTTTTGTTTGGTTTGTTTTGTGCTTATTTTTTTGTGGTTTAGGGTCTAGGGCTCCGGGCTAGCTTAGGTGTGAAGGGACTTGCTTTTCAGGTGGGGCATCAAGGAAGGGAGATGGCGGGTTGCCCCTCGGCGTTATATAACTCGCAGGCAACCTGTTTAATCTATGGGCCTTAATAATTAGGGTTTTGGGCTATATTATACTATAACTATAATAAGGAGCCCCCCAAAATAACATAGGTAGTTATCAAGTGCTCTATATTAGGGTTCAGGGTCTAGGGTTTCCGAGGAGACGTGTGCAAACTCACCAAATCACGAACAGAAGCGGAAGGTCAGCGATACAGACCCCCAAGATGCCGTCACGAACCCCGCAAAACCCCACAAAGCCTCAAGAGCCGTTAGCCCTGAATCCCAACCTAGGCCCAAAGCCCTGAACCCCCAGAGCCTAAACCCAAGAGCTGATACCCCCGGATCCCAACCTAAACCCCTAAACCCTAAAGGGTTTGGGTTTTAGGGCTTAGGGTTTAGGGTTTGGGGTTTTTGGGGTTTTTGGGGTTTAGGGTTTCGGGCTTGGGGTTTAGAGCTTACGGTTTCGTTTTTGAACCGGAACCCCACTCCTCAGACCCTTCTCGACACCACAACCCGGGATACATTCAACACCACGAGGAGACGAAGCTGCCATCACAAAAGTTAAGCCTCGAAAGTCCCTAAACCTCCCGACGGCCCTGAACAACTTCAGGTAAGGCTATCCCAAACCCGTAAACCCCCAAAGTCCAGAATCCCCAAAACCATAAATCCCAACCCCTAAACCACCCAAGACCTTCAACCCCCAAACCCCCGAAGACACCAACAACCACAAATCCAAATACCTTAAACCCCTTTTGAGCCAAGCAATGCACCTCATCTCCCTGGAGGCGGCTAAGAAGCCGCCTAAGCCGTAGACGCCCTTCCTTTTGGGCTTGAGGGGTTTAGGGTTTACAGGGGTTTAGGGTTTGGGGGTTTAGGCTTATTCAAGTCGACAAGAGGAAGCGGATGGGGGGGGGGATGAGTTTCTGGGCTCAGGTTTCAGGGCTTGGGGGGAGGAGGGGAAGGGTGTAATGTAGGGGCCTGAATAATTAGAGTACGGTTTTGGTGTATACTATACTATAAACATAATGAACCCTGAAAATAGGTAAGTCTTTCGGCCACCCTCTATTATAGAGGTTTGGGGCAGTAAGGGTGTGGGGCCCAGGCTTTTTGGGTTTAGGGATTAGGGCTGCAAGGGCCTGTGGTTCAAGGTCAGGTTCTTGAGGAGTTTAGGGTTTAGGGTTTGAAGTTTTTGCTGAACGGGCTTATTGGGGGAAAGTTTTGATCGGCGATAATTTGTGCAGGACTTTGGGATAAACATTTTCAGGAGCAGGCATGAAAGGTTTGAGGTTTGCTGCGGATGGGCTCGTTGGTGTTGCTAGCTAATATTGGCATCATTACAGTTGTTGCGAGTGCTACATTCTTACTATTTCGCGTAGCTATTGCCATGATTAGTGCTCTTACTATTCATTGCTGTTCTTACTGTTAATAATGAGCCCGGAAACCAGCAAGGTTGTGACCGAAACCAGCAACAACATCAATATAAGCATTGTGGCGCTATACAGGCACCGCTATCTGAGAATCTGAAACGGGACCATGCGCATCGGAATTCCTTAAGCGTTTGACGCAGCTTGCTCACTATACAAGACAGGCAGCAGAGGTGCATCATTTCGCTGGATCCAGACTCATGTTTCGTCATCTTGGATCCTAGAATAACTTTGATCCGGCACCCTCGGCGGGCACAGGCAAGCAATCAACTACAAGCCCGACACGGGCTACGGTCCACACTTTAGAGATTGGACCAGAGCCGGGCTCATAAGGGCTATATGGGTAGTTGTCAAAATTATGGTCCCTTTTGGGGTACCCTAAATAATAGGTGCCGTATTATAATAAGGACCCAAAAAGGGACCATAATTTTGACAACCGCCCATATAAGGGTTTAGGGTTTAGGACTAGCGACAACCCCGCGAACCTGAGGGCGACCGAGCCGCTGCATGAGCTCAGAATCGGCCTATGGCACGTTGGGGAGAAGTGGAAGGCTATATATATATATATAT